CTCTCTCTCTCTCTCACACACACACACACACACACACTCACACACACACACACACACACACTCTCTCTCTCTCACACACACACACACACACACAGGTGTAAATAGATCACTGAAGCATGTTTTCCAAGAAAACACTATTTCAGTCTTTCTACTTTCACGTTTAATTAAATGTGTTGCTTGTAATTATTTGTGAAAACCTCTAGCAATTTCTTAGCAAAAAATTTTCACATTTTCACTAAATTATTTATAAGCATAAATCTGTTCGTCCGTTTCCAAACCACTCGTGACTCTGAATGATTATTCTGTCATCGTTTGCACACACCCTTGTTCATTCCAAAACCTCTTTCTTCTGTGGAACAAAAAAGAAGAAAAGGTGCTTTTTTTGAATGAAAGCCAAAGGTAACCAAAACTGTTGACAACATTCACCAAACGTCTTTGTGCTCAGTAGTAAAGAGAAAAGTTTTGGAATGACATGAGGAGGGAGTAAATGTTCATTTATGGATGAATTCTTCTGTTTATTGTGATATATTTTTGGATTCAGTGTAATTCTGGATGCTTCGGAGGAGTTGCTGGCTTGAATTCGTAGCATGTTTAAGGGCGTAGTTCTGTTTGCATTGATGGTTAGATCGCAGTAATTCTTCAACACTTGTTAACATGAATGGCAGATAATTACCACTTCAACTTTCACGTGCAAAAAACCTGAGCTCAAAACCACACACCTGTTTACCAGCAGATTAAACTGAACCAACAGGAACATCAGACCGTTTCAGCACCCAGCATAGCCTTAATATATATATATATATATATAAGCATACATTTAAGATTGATGCATATGAATTTCATGTCAAATTTACCACCCTTTGAATTACACAATTTTTTAACATAAACTAATAAACTTAATGTGATGCATATTTGTCATACATCAATGAAACACTTACTATTTGCATTTATTTGATTAGATTTAAATAATCATACTTTTAAAATACATTTATTCAGATTGCTTAGAATCGGCATACATCTATGAAAGCTTGTTTGCGCCACTGAATTTAAAAAAAAAAAAAAAAAAGCGACTTTTTATCTCACAATTCTGACTTTTTTTCTTGCAATTCTGGGGAAAAAGTCAGAATTGTGCGCAAAAAAATCCTCGGAATTGACAAATGAACTCGGAATTGCAAAAAAGTCAGAATTGTGAGATAAAAGTTGCAATTACCAATAATTTTTCTATTTGGTGGCGGAAACAACCTTCCATCTAAAAACTAAAACCTGCCTTTTATTATTTCTCTTTATTTAATTTGTACCTTTATCCTATATATATATATATTAAAAATGCGACTTTTTTCTTTCTTTCTCAGAACTGCTATAAACTCACAATTGCAAGTTATAAAGTCATAACTGCGTGTTATAGTCAGAATTGCAAGATCTAAAATCGCAATTTTTTCCTCAGGATTGGACTTTATGACTTGCGATTTCAAGTTTATATCTCACGATTCTGAGAAGACAATTCAGAATTGCAAGAGAAAAGATGCAAATAAAGATGCACAATTTCGATTTAACTCGCGAGTTGAAAACTCACAATTGCTTTTTTTTAACATTTTTAAATCAGTGACAGGAATGGGCTTTCAAATACATTTGTTACATTTGTAACAAGTTACATTTATTCAGCTAGTTTGGACAGCAACAGCAGCAGCAGCAGCAGCGAATGTCCTCAGATGACTTTTATTGTGTTCAGCAGGTGTAAATAAAACCGATTTTATCAATAAATTTCCCTGAGCAAAGCCAGACAGCTCAATGCCAGGGTTTACCAGAGTGCAAACGCAGGTTATTTTCCTGCAGTGAACGATCTTTATCTCGATCCAGTTATCACTATGAGGAAATGTTTGTGTTTCTGTGTGGAGTACGAGAGAATCGTGTGAATGCTGATTTCCTGAACACACCCCGCAGTGACCGCAGTGGTCAATTCAGCAGAAAAGGCTGAAAATAAAAGCTTTCGGAAATATTCAAATGGCGTCTTGAAGTATTTGCACGTATTGGCTAAGTTTACATACACAAGATCTGTCTTCATTTACATACACTGAAAAATCGGTGTAGGATTTACTTTTAAAAAATCACTCAGAAAATGCTAATAAATGGCAAGTAACAATGAATTAAACATGAAATTTAGAGTATTTTCAGCAAGATTTTACTTAAAGCCGTTATTTATGATGTGTTATAAAGGTATTTATTATACATGTTGTTTCTTATCAGTTTTGTATATTAGGGTTGTGTGTTACACCTAATGTTGTTAAATTAATGTTTATTGCATTATTTCAGTTTCACGTGTTTTTACGGATTTTTTTTACAGTGTAAAGGTATTTATTATACATGTTGTTTTACATTATACTGTTCATAAATAACGGTAACCAAAGTTAAAATGCATTATAATATTTGAATGTTTGTTTTTCACATTTTACTTTCTAACAATTCATGTAACAATGAATATAATACTTAATGAACTTGGTTACAATTATTCATGAGATCACACTATGCATTATAAAGTGCATTACAAGGCATAATTAATGCATTACAAATACTTATGAGATGCATTATACTGTATATAAAGGCTTTAAGTGCGATCATATTTTCTTGTAAAACATACTCCGACAATTTTGTATTTACAACTTGTAAATTATACAGTGATTGATATTTGAAGAGATAATAATAACTAGACAGCATAACATATATTAAGCAGGAAAGATATGTGCAAACCGTATAAATATGCATTCATATAATGTACATTTTATATTGCACATATATAATATAACACCATATTTTTCATTTCTGCATTTTATATATATATATATAGGATATAGTGCATTTTAACTTTATGCACTGAATATAGCAATTAAATGATGTATAATTAAGTATTTATGTATCTTAGATCATACAGTACACATCAAAGCAATAAGCAAACAACAGGTGAGTAGGCCACACAAAGCTGTGCGCTGTTGTGAACCGTCTAAACTAGCTTTCCAAAACAGGAAGATTGTCACCCGACAGGTTCGTCGCCGTTTTTCTCTCACCGCTAAACATGCTGTGCTCATTTCTAGAAATCCAAAAGGTTTAAAAATGTCTTTTGTTGTTGTTTTTGTTGTGGTAAACCATCTTTACTCCATGATCTCTGAATAATTCACATCACTTTGATCAGGTTTTCATCTGATGGGGTGAGTAAAGGAGTATTTGAAGAATGTGATTTCTGTCTGCTCTATTTCCTCTTCCTGATTGCTAAAGCTAAAGCTAACTGCTGTCGTTTGATACTGATATTGCTATAATCTCATTACAGAATTACACGTTTGTGTTTGAGTTGGAAAATACATTGTGCGACATAATAACACTGGTGTCTTGTTTTATCAGTAAAAGTGTGAGTGTCAGCTGGACATTTTGTGTTTGTGGTGAATATGAAGGTGTTTTATAACTAAAACCAGATGTCTTTCTTTATTTTATACATTAACCTTGATGAAGTCCTCTTTGAGCTTATTTTGGTAGGGTTCTGTGAAATCAGTTTCATTTTTGCCCAAATTGTGTTTTTTGCATTTTAATGTTTCTGCTTTGTTCCATTTTAATGGTTTGATTAAATAAACAACCAAAACGCATGTCTAATCAACTGACTTAATAAAACGTTATTAATTTATTAAAATAGTGAAATGTGTTTTTTCTCTTGTCAATTTAGAAAAAAAGAAATCTGGATTCTGATTGGTAATCAAATGAATGCACAAAAAAACTTTAAAAATGTATCTTTTAAAAAGTAATCAAATTAAAATGTAACAATTCGTTTTTATTTTTTATTTTGGCAAAGTGTCACATGACAGTGGTTTACAGTTTAAATTTGAAAATCATTTAAATTATAATAATTAAATTGGATTAAAAATTGCATAATATCATGCAAAAGTCTTTAAAAATAATGTTAAAATGTATTATTATTACTTTGATAAGTACATACTACTGTACACTAGTTATATTTCTGCCATGCGTTTTACAGGTTAAACCTAATGGTTTAAAAAGCAGTCTTTTGTGCTTTAATATTCACAGACTCCAGTCCAGCGTGATGTGATTAATTGTACAGCCCTACATTATATTTTTGCCTTTTCTGTCCAAGTCTGGGTCAAGGTAAATTTATTAAAAATTATTATCAATATTTAAAACAGTTGAGTACATCAGGATTTTTTTGATGAATAGAAAGATCCAAAGACCAGCATTTATCTGAAATAAAAAGCTTTTGTGACATTATACATGCAATATACCAAAAGTTTGGAGTCATTGGGATTATAGAAATTCATACTTTTATTTAGCAAGGATGCTTTAAATTGATCAAAAGTGATGATAAAGACATTTATAATGTTACAAAAGATTTCTATTTCAGGTAAATGTTGTTCTTCTGAACTTTCTATTCATCAAAGAAACCTGAAAAAAAAACACTGATCTGTTTTCAACATAATAATAATAATAATAATATTAATAAATGTTTGTTGAGTAACAAATCAGCATATTAGAATGATTTCTGAAGATCATGTGACACACGTGAGCTGATTAGCACAGCTCTGCCAGTCAAGACTAACTGATTTATGAGTTATTATAGAATGAAACAATCGGAAATGATCGCTTTGGTACATTGAGAAGGCATAAATATAAAATATTAATAATAATAATAACAAACAAAATAACAGGGCAGCGGGCCAAATCAGCTGCCAGGCCACCAGGAATTCTCCCGGTGCTCCCGATGGCCAGTAACCGCGCCCAAAACGACTCAAAATATTAAACCACAAAGTTAACAAAACGATGCACTGCACTGTGCTGACCGAGAGCGCTTCTCTGCTGTCTTCACGAGCTATCGGAAACTCCCTATTTCCCACTTATGAAGTCCTGATTACGAGCACATTGCATTCTTTTCTGTAAAAAATAACAGTGAACAGTGGTTTGTGAATGTTGATGCTTAGCCTAAATAATTTAATCGTGAGCGCTTCATGTGAGCGCTGCTGCAGTCTTAGGCCCTCCCCAAATGCTCTCATTGGTTGAGACGCGTGATGACGCCCATCCCAAGCCAGTACTGATCAACATCACACCCTCCTGTGACCCATGGTTTGTCTGTATGTGTATTCAGAGCCAGTGAGCAGCGGACTTTCATAATAATAAAAAACTGTGTTAATGCGCGATACAATAATTGTCGGCGTTAATCAATTAATACGTTAATACGCGATGATAACGCGTTAACTTGTCCAGCCCTAATCAAAAGATTAATCTGATTTGCATAACTGCTTTACTTGCAAAAACATCAGCGTGTGCAAATGAACGACGCTATCAGCAGGCCAAATTCCAGCCCTAGCGCAGAATGAGACTCTAGTTTTACAAACAAGATTAAACGCATGCAGAGATGTCAGCACCTGAACCTGTGGAGCGATTAGAACCAAAACATGACAAAACACCTGTTGACATGGTGAAATATTTGCTTTTCAGATTCGGTGAGCTTGCAGGATACCATGGGGCGTAATGCAGCATTCCTGCTCTTCTGGGGTGAGTTGTGATCGAGACGTGATGACGCAGGAGGACGGCACGCTTACACACCCGCTGGTCAAAAGGACTCGATAATATTCCAGTCCATATGCCAGTTTTTATGTACATGACCAGTCAAAAGTTCAAATAAACGTTGATAATAATTACTGCTTCTTGATAGTAAGGTGGTTGTTGACGTATTTGTGTACAGGTTAGGGTTAAGAGATCTAGAATATGGTCATGCAGAACAAAGCATTAATACAAGTACTAATAAACAGTCAATACGCTAGCAATATGCATTCTAACTAGTCAATAGTGCTCCCTAATCTAAAGTGTTACCATTTTTTTTAAATAATGAAAAATGCGAAATTACACAAATGGAAGTATGGGAATGATTTAATGAGCAAAATGTGACAAAATTGAGCTTTCTTCATCTGCTCTAATGCATGCATTAAAATAAAAACAGTAACAACAATTTTACATTTACGCATTTAGTTGACACGTTTATCCGTAGCGATTTACGAGAGAGGAACAAAAGGAATCACTGTTGTAACGACATTTCGCCACAATTTACAAAACTAATAAGCAGAAGCTTTTAGATCAAATTGAAACATAAATTCAGTCAATCGTGTCCAAGATTTCCACTGGTACTTTTTGGCGGCGTAAATTTCATACTGTATTTTAATAACAGATAATAAGTTTTTCACTCTATCACTTACAATACTCACAGTACCTTCAAGAGAAAGAAAAACCAGAGCTGTCTATCACAAAGTATTTGCTGTTTTTATTTGCAGGAATCTTGAACTCCTACTTTCCTCCGGACTGCTGCCAAACCGACTCTAATTTTACTACCAGTTCTTCTCCAAATCTTTACATGACTGTTTCTCAAAGCACTGCATCTCAAACAATGGAGCCCTTAACCAATGGGAGCAGTTCTTCAGGAAGCGCTAAAACAACTAGCATGGACACATCAACGACATCCGAGACACCTACACTGACTCCGAGTCATGAGGATGAAAATGAACCCATTACATCCACTGATGACCAAACCTCACACATATCCAATTCTTGGACCACTGGAACATTAACTGGTACCCAAAAACCTGAGCCAACAACTGAAACCTCAACCAACAGAGAGCAGACGGCATTTTCTGAATCAACAATTACAGCGATTTCCCCTACAACAACTCCCGACTCGAGTTCATCCATCTTCACAACAAGCTCAGAACCAAACCAGCTCACTATCAGAAGTACAACCGAGACTTACTCCACCATTCAAGCCACTACACAACCAATGAACACTTCTGACTCACCAATAAACTACCAAAGCACTGCAACTCAAACAATGGAGCCCTTAACCAATGCCACTTCACATGGGATCAGCTCAACAGAAAGCACTACAACAACTAGCACGGACACATCAATGACACTGACTCCGAGTCATGCAAACCATGATTCAATTACCACCACTGTTTCCAATACACAGAATGATGCAGAGCAAACCTCAAACAGCAATATGTCTATTTCTTGGACTGCTGGAGCATTAAATGGTACCCAAAAACCTGAGCCAACAACCGAAAGAAGTGTCATAAAACAGACGGAATTTTCTGAATCAACAACAATGATTGCACATACAACAACAACTACAGGCTCTTCATTTCCATCCCCTGTTGCGTCCTCTGGAACATCACACTCCACTACGACGACGACACAACAGCTTGAGTCATCAGACCACACTCAAGTCTCCATCACATCAAATGAATCGACAGCAACAACGATTGCCCCTACACCAACTCCAGACTTGAGTTCATCCATCTTCACAACCAGCTCAGAACCAAATCACTTTGCAACGAGAAGCACAACCGAGTCTTACTCCGCCATTCCAGCCACTACACAACTGAAGAACACTTCTCTCAGTGACACTTCTGACTCACCATCAATCTACCAATCTACAAATGAATTAGATACTACGTCTTTCAGCCACCTGCAAACACAAATGTCTCAAACAATTGCTGCTGCCTCTGCACTTCTTCAGACTACATCGTCGCAAATCACACCAACCAATGCAAAGATTACAGAGCCTTCTGTTACAACCTCAACTTCCTCCAGCAGAAGTGTCACAGATCAGACGGCATTTTCTGAATACACAAGGACAATGACTGCAGGATTTCTGTCCTCTGACGCATCTTCTGGAACATCACACTCCACTGCGAACACATCACAACAGTCACCAGATCACACTCAAACCTCCATCACATCAGATGATTTGGATTCTACGTCTATCACGGCAGAGCCTTCATTTACAACCTCAATGTCAGCTACAAATACAAAGCAAACTTCCCAAAGTGCAACAGAGCCGACGGAGGAATCATTAACAATTGACCCACCGGATGACACAACCGATACTGAAATAGCATCGACTATCAAAACACCTGTGGAATCGACTACAAATGCAATTTCAGCCGTCGACGACACTGCATCAGCCACAGAAAATAACACTGAACATTTAACTGATGTGTTTTGGTCCTCTTCTGATAACACAACATGGAATGAGTTTACATTGATAGACGACTTTAATAGCACACTGATAACCTTAAATGAAACAACATCTGAGTCATCTCAATCAGAAAGTCTGCCAACTGACGGTCAAGAAACTCTGACACCTGTGATGGAATCGCAATCATCTCAGTCCGCAACAACTGACGCAACTCTAAATCCAAGTCTGGTTACTTCCTCAGACTCAACAACACTTGTTGAGACCTCAAGACCTGTCATAGCGGCACAAGTTACAGCTACACCTAAAATCCCCAACCCAGAGCACTCGCAAACACCTGTAACTGCTTTCACAGCATCAACATCTACAACAACACCAACGCCGGTTAGCAGCATATTCTACACAACATGTACACATCGCACAAACAAACCACTAGTCATACTGTACTTTTGAATGCTCGTGCATTTGACTGTGCATCAGACTTTTCCAGAATTTCACCTGTGACAACCAACCACATTTTTATTAATTCATCATTAATTCTTTCGTTAACCTAACCCTAACAGCCAACAGTTAAATAACTTAGCAGACCAAACCTGAACAACATTTAAATCTCCTAATAGATCAAAACCGACCAACATTTAAATCTCTTAATTCTCTTAATAGAAGAAAACCTGTCAATATTTAAACACATTTTTCTAGTTCAAGTAGCTCAAGTAGTTAAAGTCAGTTTATTTATAACAAAAATGTAAAAGAAACAAAACTATTCAAATAAAATATTATCATATCATATCAATATCATCATATTATCATAGTTATGCAGGGACTTCTGTCCTTTTAATGATTTTTAATTCCTTTTGATTGCCAAAACCATAAAATTGATAGTATTTTATAATAAAATCATATACAATTTTTCACACTATGGTATGTGCTAAGGTAGTTTATCGTTAACCAGTTAAGAGGTGATAACTGTTTAAAGCCTTCTACTGTAAAAACTAATTATTTTTTTACAGCATGGGTCTCTCATTCAACCACTTTCTTTTTGTCTTTTCTTTACAGGGAACAGTTTCAAGACAAGCAATGACACCTGATTCAAAGCCCACATCTATGAACACGCCCTCAATGTTTCTGACCACTCAGGAAAATCAGAAAACGAACACAAACGCCTCCTTAAACCCATTTTCTCCAGCATCTCCTCTCACAGCCACAAGCAGTGACCCTAAACCTGTCACCACTCCATTAGCTGAGGAACACAAAGGCTCAACTGTGGGCATATCAATTCAAACAGCGCTAAACAGGTCTGATTCAGAAGGCACTACAATCACAGACACCTGGTCAAACAGCATATCTTCAACACCAGCAGGTCTAACAAACCCACCGTTATCAAGCAACACCAGCAGAGACGGAAACGCAGATGATTCTGCAAACTCAGTGAAAAGCACCATTGTTTTTGTCTTCAACATTCCCAAAGTACCTGTGTTTAAAATAATCACCTTCAATCACCCACTGGTTAATCAAGTCACAGTCATGAACACAGTTTTAAGACCATGAAACGGTCACATAAAATGACTTCAAAGCAAAGTGGGTGATTTAGAGAGCATATATTTGGCTCCTTGTGTACGTGACAATTGCGGAAGAGTCAAAAAGAGAAACTTCCAGCTAAATGCATCTTAATGGAGAGAGATTGGGAATATAAGGAATGTAGAAGCCAAAATGTTTTTGTGGTTACTTAACAGACAGGAAGGCAATGTCAATTATTTCAACGTCAAGCAGACCATACTGTATGACTACATGCTTTAAAACAAGCCAACAACAACAAAACAAAAAAATTGAAACCAAAACAAATGAGACGGGAGAACAGGTGTAATGTTTTATGAAGACTAACTTTCATTTCAACAATCCAGGTAGGGGCGAACAATTGACGCGTGAGTCTGTAGCGTAGCTTCTTAATCATTTATTTTCGCAAAACAACAATCCATAAGATCAACAGTTGAACCATAGCTTCACCGCTAAACATTAGCACACACAGCCACATGAACACACGGTCTGAAAATTGCATCCGCTTCCCCCCTACTCACCCCACCTACTTCCTTACCTACACTAAATACACAATTGCAATAATATAATAAGAGTCTCAATTGACAATTTCATACCATTCAATGCAAATACTCAAACACAAACAATAATGATCAAACATAAACTTAATTATATTCAAATTAGTAAATCAGTACAAAATATGAAAACAGAAAAAGAAATGGCTCCAACATTCCGGCCCGTAATTGTCAACTTGTGACAATTCTAATAATTCATTCAAAAAAGGAGCCATGATTTTTAACAAAAGTAACAACAACAAAAAAAAGAAAGAAAAAAATTCAAAAAATTGGCCAAAAGTGTCAGAGTCTTCTGGTCAGTTTCTTCAGATGCTCATGACATGTCTTTTAGGAAGCATAAGTTGATAATAGGTCTCTCCATGATACTGTTCTTTGTCCTCACTTTAACTCTGCGTACATACCCTTTGCTGTCCAGAAATGTCTCCAAAATTTGACCTAAAGGCCAAGAGTTCCGTGGTGAAGTATCATCGATAATGAGAACAATATCACCAGTTTTAAGGTTTTGTTTGCTTTTGTTCCACTTCTGCCTCTTCTGCATTAGCGGGAGGTACTCTCTAATCCAGCGTTTCCAGAAAAGGTCGCAAATATACTGTACTTGTTTCCATCTTCTTCCGGAATAGATGTCATCCTTCTGAAAAATCCCAGGAGGCTAAATAGGAACACCTTTCATCTGAAGCAAATTATTAGGGGTTAAAGCTTCTGGATCTTTAGCATTCTCTGAAACTGCAGTGATTGGATGATTGTTGAGTATAGCTTCCACTTCACATAAAGCAGTCTGTAGGCCTTCATCATCAAGGGTGTCCTGTCTCAGAACGGAGTATAGGATCTTTTTGAGAATTCGAATGATTCGTTCCCATACACCTCCATGATGAGAACCTAAAGGAGGATTGAAAGTCCACTTCACATTCTCTCTCAGCAGTACCGTCTGTATTTTATCTTGGTTGATGTCAGCAAGTGCTTCTCTCAATTCTCACTCTGCCCCGATGAAGTTGGTTCCATTATCCGAAATTATCTCCTTGACTTGACCCCTTCTACACGTAAATCTTCTGAGAGCACAACTACAGGAATCTGTGTTCAGAGAATAGGCCACTTCAAGATGAACAGCTCTTAAAGCAGGTAAATATCACTCCATATCTTTTGACATGAGCTCTCCCCCTCTTCACCTCAATTGGACCAAAGTAATCGATTCCAACGTGACTGAAAGGTGGTAAATCAGGAGTGATTCGATTTAGGGGTAAGTCTGACATCTTTTGTTCACTTGCAGATCCATGCCAACATCTACAGAAAAGGCAATCTCTGATGACTTTCCTGGCAGTAGCATTACCTCTGGTAATCCAGTATCTTTTATGGAGTTTAGCAAGCAGTTGGCTTCTACCACAATGACCTGACATATTGTGAATATGGTTCGTTAACAGTCTACACAGATGACTATTGTTGGGTAGAATAGCTCAGTGTTAATTTTGACAGCAAATTTTGATTTAGTTTTAGTCATAGTCTTTTGACTAAAATGCCATTTAGTTTTAGTCATATTTTAGTCATCTAAATTGTTTTTAGTTTTAGTCGACTAAATATCATAAGATTTTAGTCGACTAAATCTACAGTAAATTTAGTCGGGACAATAGCAACTAAATTAGGCTGCTGTCCCTTTAAAAACGAATGCACAGCTGCAATGGATGCAAATTTACTGATACACGTTCTTCATGCTGTTTATGTTCACTTAAGACGTAATCAACTGTGTTTACGTGAATAATCGTCAAAACAATTCGACAATTCGACATCATTTTGTGTGTAATTCTCCGTTCATGCGACTCGAGAGAGTACTTGCGTGCTGTGAGAGGTGCTTTCTGTGTGTGTGTGCTTCAGTGTCTGCGCTCAGAAAACCGGACCGAATTGAGTTCTCTCTTGCGTCGTCAGATTTATCCATATGTCTGCTCTTCTCTTACTCCCACATATTAAAATTTTTTAATGTTTTATGCGACGTGCAGCAAGTGTATGTACGCATCTAACCTCCAAGTCCGAACCACGCAGCAGATTCGTTCTGAATGAATCTCTTCCCAAATCGTCCCTCCCTAACATTTTCGTCTCGTTTTTATTCGTTGACGAAAATGTCAATAGATTTACGTCATAGTTTTTGTCATTCAAAAAGAGTTTCGAGTTCGAAGAGTTTGTCCCTAACATTTTCGTCTCGTTTTTATTCGTTGACGAAAATGTCAATAGATTTACATTCTGCGCTCAGAAAACCGGACCGAATTGAGTTCTCTCTTGCGTTGTCAGATTTATCCATATGTCTGCTCTTCTCTTACTCCCACATATTAAATTTTTTTAATGTTTTATGCGACGTGCAGCAAGTGTATGTACGCATCTAACCTCCGAGTCCGAACCACGCAGCAGATTCGTTCTGAATGAATCTCTTCCCAAATCGTCCCTCCCTAACATTTTCGTCTCGTTTTTATTCGTTGACGAAAATGTCAATAGATTTACGTCATAGTTTTTGTCATTCAAAAAGAGTTTTAGTTCGTTATTGTCTCGTTGTCGTCGGTGAAAAAAAGGTCGTTGACGAAAATTATGACGAAAATTATTCATCAACGAAATTAACACTGGAATAGCTGGATGTTTAAACTCTTCTGACATTGCCATCCTGCTCAACCTTCCACCGACTCTTAAGATACCATTGTCTAGGATTGGATCCAACATGTATATCCTACTATTGGTTTTCACAGCCTGACCTTTGTTCAACAAAGTAATTTCGTCTTCAACCTGCTGTTGAACACAACGAACAAGAGATTTTTCCGCGACTACAAGATCTTCTACTGAGAGAGTTTGGACACCAATCTGAGATTTGACTTTGATCATGTGGTTATCAAGTAATTCTCCTTCTCCTTGAAGTAAAGGATCATACAAGTACGATTTGAACCATCAGTCTCAGTCATCATAAACACTTGTTGTTATTCACAACTGCTTTGTATGTTTGACCCGAATGAGAATCAAGCTTGCATTCTTGCCTCAGCCGCTTGCATCAGCTTAAATCTTTGGCCCATATAAGACAACCTTAAACCGTCTTACAAGACCGCTTTCAATAGCCATCGCCATAATCGATAACCGAATGGCTACTCACGGCACATCATGTTCAAACAGTGTCTTAATGAAGTCAGTTCCTTCGCTGAATAATCCATTGGTGCAGTACAGCAGCAGACATCCACATCAATTACCTAAAGGTCGTAGCCTGATCCGCATCCACATCCGTGTCTTCGCGGAATTTTCAGAGTTCAATGTAGCGGCAAATTTGTGATAAACCACTATCCAGGTAGGGGCGAACAATTGACGCGTGAGTCTGTAGCATAGCTTCTTAATAATTTATTTTCGCAAAACAACAATCCATAAGATCAACAGTTGAACCATAGCTTCACCGCTAAACATTAGCACACACAGCCACATGAACACACGGTCTGAAAATTGCATCCGCTTCCCCCCTACTCACCCCACCTACTTCCTTACCTACACTAAATACACAATTGCAATAATATGAGTCTCAATTAAAAATTTCATAACATTCGATGCAAATACTCAAACACAAATAATAATGATCAAACATAAACTTAATTATATTCAAATTAGTAAATCAGTCCATTCATTCCAAAATATGAAAATAGAAAAAGAAATGGCTCCAACAGGTTTTATATGTCAGTTTGTATTCTATTCGCTGTAGTGTTACAGGTTTAAATTACGCAATGTTTACGTACAAAGACACTCAAAGAAAATCATCCATGCATATAAACAATAACATGCAAAACCTTTTGCTCTTTGTGTTGAACCATAGCTTCACCGCTAAACATTAGCACACACAGCCACATGAACACACGGTCTGAAAATTGCATCCGCTTCCCCCTACTCACCCCACCTACTTCCTTACCTACACTAAATACACAATTGCAATAATATGAGTCTCAATTAAAAATTTCATAACATTCGATGCAAATACTCAAACACAAATAATAATGATCAAACATAAACTTAATTATATTCAAATTAGTAAATCAGTCAATTCAGTCCAAAATATGAAAATAGAAAAAGAAATGGCTCCAACAGGTTTTATATGTCAGTTTGTATTCTATTCGCTGTAGTGTTACAGGTTTAAATTACGCAATGTTTACGTACAAAGACACTCAAAGAAAATCATCCATGCATATAAACAATAACATGCAAAACCTTTTGCTCTTTGTATTTTTTCAGCTCTTTTGTCGCTTACGTACTCATTTTGTACTTTAATTTTAAAATGGTGTTCTATGAATATTGTTGGCTCCTACGACAAATTGCTTGTGATTTTCCTCATTTGTAAGTTGCTATAAAATCATCTGCTGAATATTTCATAAGACGGCATGTTTAGGGAGGAATGCATTGTTGTATAAGTATATCTAGTTTGGTTAAAAATTGAATGCATTAACAATGCAACACCACTTGAGTGACAGCTATGCGTTTGTGTCATGTGACTCCAAACAGAGCTAATAAAAACATGCACTTTCAGGACAGCATGAGTTTACCTGCTTTTATCAAGGGACTTGCAACTTCACCTTTGTGTAAGAAATTGCACTCGGGTACAAAATGGATTGGGTGAGTTTGACTTGTTTAAGTATTACTATAGCCATACTTTCTGATTTATACTCATAACCATTTATATTAGTTTATTTGGCCCCAATTTATATTAAGAGGCCTTAACTACTATGTACTTACATCAAAAATTAAGTACAATGTACATACTGTGTTCATATTGTATTGCAAAACACTTTTGCTATTGAGGTGGGATATGGGTAAGGGATGGGTCAACTGTGTAATTATAAATGTAATTACAGAAATTAATTACAGATGTAATTACATGCAGGTATTTTTAAAATATAAGTACAATGTAAAAACATGTATGTACACAATAAGTGCATTGTACCAAATTATTAATTTAAATGTAAGTACTTAGTTGTTATGGCCACTTAATATAAAGTGGGTCTGTTTATTTTATTGTATTTTATTTTGCTCTTACTGTATTTTTATTTTCTCTCTCTTTGTATTTTATTGTGTTTTATGTAATTGTACAGCACTTTGGTACACTGTGTTTTAAGGTGCTTTATATGTATTTTTTTATACCATCTAGAATCTTTTTGTTACACTTTATTTGAAGGTGTCCTTGTTACAGTGTAATTATACAAAAACTACATGTACTTACTATATGGTTAGGGTTAGGATTAAGGTTTGGCTTGGGGTTACTTGCATGTAATTTTGCAGAATTTATTGTTATTATAATAGTAAGTACATGTAACGTGTAGCAAGGACACCTTACAATAAAGTGTTACCATCTTTTTTCTTAATTGAGATTATTTGTAATAATTTATGATTTAACTAAGCATTATAACACTAAACTAAAATGTGCTGAATAATGACTGTCTTCTGTAGAACTGCTTTGAAACAATTGTATAAATAAATATACAAATAAATGTATTATATAAGGATTAAACAAAAGCAGACCTTACACCAAACACATTGTAATAAATGGCTGACACTTCAACAGCAAGAATAAGTGATTAAGTAAAAATATCTTAAAATTGTTTAAAGTTCAAGATGCATTTGGAGTGATCTTTGTAAATTTCCTCAGACGTTAAAGATAAAATACATAAATGCAATAGGGTACAATAATAAATGAAAAATTAATAGCTATGAACCACAACGAAAGCATGATGAAGTCTAAGAATATTTTACATCTTAAGATGCATACTTAAATATGAGCATATTTAATTTTATTGAATGTAAGTTTTATGATCACACATAAACCCCTGATGTTGGAAAAATGACATTTCTAATGTAATTATTTATTTATATATATATTTTAAAGAAATTAATACTTTTATTCAGTAAGGATGCATTAAATTTATGAAAAGTGACTATTTCCACTAAAATATGAATCAGCACAAGTGTGTTCAACATTGATAATAATCAGAAATGTTTCTTGAGCAGCAAATCAGCATATTAGAATGATTTCTGAAGATCATGTGACACTGAAGACTGGAGTAATGATGCTGAAAATACAGCTGAGCATCACATGAATAAATTACAGTTGAACAGATATTCACATAGAAAACAGCTGCTTTAAATTGTAATAATATTTGGCAATAATACCGATTTTACTGTATTTTCATCAAAAAAATGCAGCCATGGTGAGCAGAAGAGACTTC